TCCTGCTGATGAATTCTTATGCAAATATCGAAATGACAAGAAGAAGAGGAGAATGAACTCCCTCATGTTCTACCTGCTTTAGGGTACCACTGGGATCTTTACCCCTGCCTTTCTTTCCCAGTGGAAACAAAACCATGGTGCAACAGTTGGTAAGGTCTGTGAGAGAGGCACCCCAACTCTCTGGGAGTTCTCACCTTGTACCGTTCTGCTGAGCTGGAGGGATCATGCTGTAATACACTGGTACGCCCCCTGCTGGGAGGCCCCCTTGCACAGATTGGCTCGCAGGGACCAGCATGGGTTGCTGGAAAGGCGGCTGGACCACATTTTGCGAGTCATTACCCACTGGGACCTGGGTGGAGACAAGAAGAGAATGACCACTCTTACTCCCAAAGAGTACTTCCAAAGAACAGCCTCTAGTCATCACTAGACCAGGACACTCTAACCTCCTTCCCTACCTCTAGAGACTCCTATTCTCCTCACCTGCATAAAGGAAATGCTTAGAGCTACCTCCATTGCCTTCCTCTCCAAACCTCACCCATGGGCATGTGATGTACAGGAAGGAGCCTAATTTCCTCTAGATCCTCCTTTTCTGGGCATATACTCGTTTGCATGGCTATATAAAAACCAAACAATTTAAATAAAGACTGTTCTCAGACTCTCTGGGCCTTTTCTCAGAGGAAGAAAACCTAAAAATTCTAGGGGTAAAGTGAACAATGTTTTAGTGTTCAAGTTGTCAGACTGGAGGATGTGGGAAACTGTCCTCCTTTTCCTCATCCCAAGGACTGGGTGATCTTTCCTAGTACAAAATGCACCCACTTGGTAAGAAGGCAGTGGAGTGTACTGAACCACCAGGCCTTGCATCTGGCCCCCCATGCTGCTCCTCTGGCTGCTGAGCAGGCCCTGGTTCTGTGGCTGCTGGACCCCAATCATGCCTTGGTAAGCCGCCTGCTGCTGGTTAGGCATCATGGGCTGTAAACCTAGGGATGGGCAAAGCAGAGAAGACATTAGCATAGTATCAACAATGTTTAGGAGGTCACACTCTCTCAGTAATTTTCCTTCTATTTTACTTTTTCTTTTTCTGGAGATCACGGGTTCCTCTTCAGGACCCTAATCATT